TGGGATTGAACTGCTGGGAACCACCAGGATTTGCCCCTTCTTTGACCAAACCTTCAGTACCCGCCTCAGAACTTGGGATTTGGGCAAGCTGGGCTTTGGGAGGAGTCCCTGCCCATGGCAGGAGGTGGGACTGGCTTCCAAAGCATTCCATGATTTCACGATGTCTCCATCCTCCCAGGTGTCCTGGTGCATCCCTTCCCCACCTGAGGCAGAGAAATCCTGGCTCACCTGTTCTCCTCCCCTTCCACGAGCTTCCTGTAGGTGAGGATCTCCACGTCCAGGGCCAGTTTGATGTTCATGAGCTCCTGGTACTCGCGGACCAGGTGAGCCATGTGCTCCCTGCTGCGCTGCAGGGCCTCCTCCAGCCCGGCCACCTTGGCCTTGGCGTCCCTCAGGGTCCCCTCGCCCTGCTCGCCAGCCTCGCGGATGTGCTCCTCCAGGTACAGGCACTGGGGAGTGCGAGAGGGAGTGAGGGGGCTTGGGAGAGGGAATTCCACCCTGTCCTGCTATCCCACCCAGCACACACCTCTCCCTTTATCCCACCCTAGGACACACCTGTCCCTATATCCCACCCTAGGAGATGCCTGTCCCGTTATCCCACCCAGCACACATCTGTCCCATTATTTCCACCCCAGCACACACCTGTCCTGTTATCCCAGCACACACACCTGTCCCTTTATCCCACCCAGCACATACTTGTCCCATTATCCCAGCACACAGCTGTCCTGTTATCTCACCCCACCCCTCTCCTGTTATCCCAGCACACACCTGTCCTGCTATCCCACCCAGGACACACCTGTCCCGTTATCCCCCCCCAGCACACACCTGTCCTGCTATCCCACCCAGGACACACCTGTCCCGTTATCCCCCCCAGCACACACCTGTCTGGTTGTTTCCCCCAGCACACACCTGTCCCATTATCCCAGCACACACCTGCCCTTTTTATTCCCCCCAGCACTCACCTGGCTCTTCTGGGACACGATGCAGGAGCGCAGTTTCTGGATGCGGATGTTCAGATCCGCGATTTCCCTCCGGCTGTCCAGGAGGTGCCCCCCGAAGGAGCCGGGCTGGGAGCTGCTGTCGGTGAGCTGTGGAGAGAGGGACAGGTGCCCTGGCATCACCTGGGTTACCTGGGCAACGCTCTGGGGCTTATTCCCATCCTCTCTGGCTGTGGCCCTGGCCTCACCTGGATTACCTGGGCTAAGATCTGAGGCTCATTCCTGTCCTCTCTGGCTGTGGCTCTGGATCTGGTGCCCTGGCATCACCTGGATTACCTGCACAACGCTCTGGGCTTGTTCCCATCCTCTCTGGCTGTAGTTCTGGATCCAGTGCCCTGACATCACCTGGGTTATCTGGGCAAAGGTCTGGGGCTTGTTCCCATCCTCTCTGGCTGTGGCTTTGCATCTGGTGCCCTGGCATTACTGGGATTTACCCAGTACATTTGCCCTGGATTACCTGGGCAAAGGTCTGGAGCTTGTTCCCATCCTGTCTGGCTGTGCCAGGCTCACCTGGCTCTGGGACCAGTCACATTCCTGCTCCTTGGAGAGCTGGAAGGACATTTCCATCTCCACTGGGAGATGTGCTGGGTTCCTCCAGTGTGGAAAGCCCAGAGTAACAAAACTCCAGATTTACTGTCTGGACAGTGATCACGGATAGTGCCTTGTCCCTCCCTCCGTTCCCAGCCCATCCCTGCCATCCCAGCTGTCTCCAGGCCAGTCCCTCCTGTCCTCTCCTGGCACGGAGCAGGGATCTGGTACCTTCCTCCGGGTGAGTGCCTCGGCCTCCTCCCAGCTGCGCAGGGCCAGAGCCTCGTACTGGGCCCTGACGTCCTCCACGATCCTGCCCAGGTCCGGCCGGGAGCAGCTGTCGATCCCCAGCACCACGGAGATGTCCTTGATTTCCGTCAGCAGCTCCTCCAGCTCCTGCAGGGCCACGGGACAACAGGGTAGAGAACACGGAGCTGGACATTCGTGGAATGGTTTGGGTGGGAAGAACAGCAAAGCCCAGCCCAGCCCAGCCCTGCCATGGCAGGGACACCTCCCACTGTCCCAGGCTGCTCCAAACCCTGTCCAGCCTGGCCTGGGACACTGCCAGGGACGGAGCACAGCTTCCTTGGGAAATCCATTCCAGGGCCTCCCCACCCTCACAGGGAAGAACTTCTTCCCAGGATCTGGTCATATCCAAGATTCCCAGTAGTCAGAGAGAGCTCCAGGTGGGCTGTGCTTGGCAGAACAGCTTCCATATGGAGAGGGGGACAATTCCCAAGTTTTCACTCTCTGGAGTTGGGCATCTGGTATTATTTGCTCCATAAGATCCAGACTCAGGTTAAGTTGGGGTTTGGGATCTTTGGATACAAACTGGCAAAATCTGACAAAACAGTGCCTTTGGACTAGTCCAGGAGCACGAAGAATCCTGAGATCCTTAAGGCTGGAAAACACCTGTAGGATCACTGGATTCCACCTGTTCCTCAGCAGTGCCAAGGCCACCCCTGACCATGTCCCCAAGTGCCACATCCACACATTCCTTGGGCACTTCCAGGGACGGGCACTTCACCCCAGCTGGACAGCCCTTTCCAGGAAGGAATTTTCCCCAATATCCAACCTAAACCTCCCCTGGCACTTCCTCTTGACCAGTCGGTCGTTCCCCAGGAGCAGAGCTGGAGCTGATGATCATGGATCAATACCCACTGATATCCAGGCTGAATGGGAGAGTTTTGGGAAAACAAAGGCAGTGTGGATCACTCCACAGCCTGGGGAGGCTGGAAAATGCCCTCTCCAAGCTCTGCTGTGGGATCCAGCAGCGCTGGGGTTGCTCCTTGTGATGCCAGAGCCTGATTTAGGGCTCCTCGGGGAACCAGGAGCCTTCCCTGTGCACAGCCAGGCCGGCAGAGCTGCTCCGCTCCTCTGTCCTGGGAATGGCAGTGTGGAGGGAGGCAGGAGCACCCCTGGGATTACAGTCCACCAGGATATTTGCTCTGGATAAATCACAGCTGCAAATTCCCCTCCCTGAGCCTGGAAGGGCCCCTGGACCCAGGTCTGGACTCAGGTTTGGACCCAGATTTGGATCCAGGCTTGTTGCTCCCTTATCTCAGGCCCAGCTCCTGCTTTGCACCAGGAATTCCTTCCCCTCCTCCCTCTCCTTTGTTCTTCCCTTTGTGCTCAGGTCCCTTTGGAGCAGGAATTGTGTTCCTTGAGCCCTTCCCTTCCCTGGCTGGGCTCACAAAGGGCTCTGTGGCTGAGGGATAACACAGACACACCCCAAAAACCAGGATGATTGGGAGATTTTATCCCACTGCTGTTTAATCCCTGAGTTTCTTTGTTAATCTTGGAGCAGGTGAGAAAATTCATGTTTATTTGGAATATCGGATCATTTGGTGAATAAAACCCCCAAAGTAGTCATTTAATAATGAGAATTAATAAATTATTTTCTCTTGATCCATCCCAACAAGTAAAGTTTAATTCATTTTCTCTCCACCTGGAATGTGCCTGTACCTGATGTCATCGAATCCACAGAGAAGGTGAGACAGGAGAGGCTGGGGATGAGATTTTTACATTAATTAGGGGTTCAAAAATGCAGCTTTTTATGGGACGCATGGGAAATCAGGTGGAGACCCTGGAGCAGGGCCTGATTTCCAAAAAAACTGGGCTAAAATTGCCTTGCATGAGGAACAATCTCATTTTAGAGCAGATCAGGCTCCCTGGGCAGTTTTGCTGGGAGGCAGCACCAGCCTCTCCGTGCCTCAGTTTCCCACATGGAATGTTCATACTCCTCCACCAGGCACTGTAATTGTTTGGATTGCTGGAATTTAGATAAATCCTGAGTGTTCCCACACTGCTGATCCTGCTGGGTGACATTTTCCAGGCCTGAGTCAGTGTTCTGTTCTTCCCCTGGCTGCAGTCATTCCTGGCTGGGGACCCCTGCTTTTCCTGGGAAAGGAGGAGGCTGGAATGTGTTTCAGAGCACCCAGGTTCTCCAGGTGTCTTGGGGTTTGGGTTCTTCCTGGAGTCTGAACATTTGGCTCACCTGGGCCAAGGTCTGGGACAAACCCCATCCATTCCAACCTCATCCTCATCTGGGCCAAACTCCATTGGAATTCCAACCTTATCCTAAACAGCCAGTTTGGGATGAGGTTGGAATTCCAGGCCCCTGCAGAGGCTCTGGGGCAAAAGGAATGTTCTGCTCCCATTCCAATGTTGTTTTTAGGGGAGGGATCAACTCCTCATGTCCTGCCTGAGCACTGGGATGGCTGTGACACCCTGGCCAAGCTCCCACGTGGGTGGAAATCCAGGATCTGTCCCCAAAATGCCATTTCCCATATTGTCCCAGCCCTCTCCAGGTGTGCTCCCACCTGCTCATAGATGGTTTTCTTCAGCTCCAGCAGCTCCTGGAGCCCTTTGAGCTTCACCTCCAGCTCCGTGCGGTGCAAGGTGCTCACATCCAAATCCTGCAGGGGTGGAAAGGGAGTCACCAGGGATGGAAAGGGATTCACCACGGATGGAAAGGGATTCACCAGTCCACACCTGGATTTACAGCCAGTCACTCCCACTGCTCCCCATCCCAGGGAGTTCCAGGCATGCTGGACAGGGCTTAGAGCATCCTGGACAGGGAAGGAGTCTCTGCCCATGGGATGAGCTCCTTCCCTCCCAACCCATGCCCAGATTTATTAACAGGGATGTCTGGAGCTGCTCTCCAGCTGGGGAGGCTCCTTTGAGAACCTCTTGCCTTTGTTTTGTGGGACTTGGTGGTGGAAGGGCCAGGCAGGGCTGGACCATCCCCTCCAAATTTTGTTCCCCACAAAAGGCTCCACTTATTGCAAACTTGGGAGCCACCCATGGAAGTGTCTGGGAATGCCTTTCCTGGTGAGTGTGCAAAGGAAAACACGGAATTAGCCAGGATAGATATTTGTGGGGAACATTCCCTCTCTCCAACACCCTTATCCTGCCCTCAAATTGGGGGTTTTGATACAAAATCCCAATTCCAGCTGATTCCCACTGGCTCCTGCTGGACTGGGAGCTTTGCCCGGGGTTTGCCCAGGGCGTGGCCCCTCCACAGGGAACAAAGGAAATCCTTTAAATCCTTTATCAGTTCCAGCCTTTCCCAACCCTAATGGCACCCGGAGGGAACACAGGGAGGAGGGGGCAGCTGGGGAAGGGTTTGGAACCCTCAGGCCAGGGAAACCCCACGGTGCAGGGATGGGGACAGCGACCAGGAAATCCCAGGGTGCAGAGATGGGGACAGTGACCAGGAATTCCCAGGATAGGGGATGGGGACAGTGACTAGGGAAATCCCAGGTGCAGGGATGGGGAGAGTGACCAGGAAATCCCGGGATAGGTAATGGGGACAATGATCAGGAAATCCCAGGTGCAGGGATGGGGATGCTCTGATCCCCAGGTGTGCCAGGGGATTTTCAGGAGCCCCTCCAGACTCACCCTCCTGTGGAATTGGGACTCATCCCCTCCCTGTCCTCCTCCAGACCTTGTTATCCCAAACCAGCTGAGCATGGATCACCTCCAGGCCCTCCCCTGGCTGTGCAGGGCTGGGTAGAGCCAATCCAGGGGAAAATTCCCCTTCCCCTCCTGCTGACCTTTTTGAGCTCCATGAAGGTGAATTCCATCCCGCTGCAGAGGCGAATTTCATCCTCGTACCTGCAGAGCACCCACAGCATGGCATCAACCACAGGGAAACTCAGGGAGGGACACTCAGAGTTGTCTTCAGACTCCCAAAGTATCCCAACTTTCTGCTTTTCCTGCTTGTCCCCCCTCCTTGAGGCATTGAGTGAGAAGCTGCCACATTCCAGCTGCCCTGGAACACCAGGAGCACTTTGGGGATGAAGAATCCCAGAGCAGAGAGGAGGGAGCTTTAACTGGGATTTCACCTGGGGGCTGGGCAGCCTCAGGCTCTTCACAAAGGGATGAGGGACAGGGGTGGGGATGGGGCTCTGCCCAAACTCCTCAATTTCACCCCAAACCTTTTCCATGAGCAGAACAGAAAAGGTTTGGGGTGAAATTGAGGAGTTCCAGTGTCAGAGTCTTCCCAAGGGAGAAAACTTTGGCTTGTGGCAATTCTGAGAATTCTGGGCTGGTGTCATAACTCAGCCCAGGTGATTTGTGAAGGCACACAGGTAAAGGAATTCATGGGAAACTGCCCATGGAGTGGAAGGAAACCAAACCAGGATGGGGTGGAGTCCTGGGTGTCCCTGTGTTTGAGTCCTGGTGGGACAGGGCATGGCCAGGAGCAAAGCCTCAGTGCAGGGGCAAATGGATGTGAGTGGGAATCGGGGAATGCTCCAACCCTTGCTGGCTCCTGGGACAGGGGTGTGGTGGTCCCAAACCCCAGGAAAGGCACAGGGTCCATTTTGGCCCAGCAGAGCTGGGTCAGAGCAGAGCCATGGGAGGGGGTGGGTGTCTCCCCCAGCAGCTGGACAGGGGTGGGAGCACTGGGAGTGATGGATCAGAGCAGGCTGAGCTCTCAGGGAGCTCCAGGCTCCCCTGCTCTTCCCTGATCCCTCAGGCTCCTCAGCCTAAGGGGTACATGGCACTCCATGGAATCACTAAGATTGGAAAAGCCCTTGGACAGCATTGAGTCCAACTGCTCCCCCAGCCCTGCCAGGGCCAGCCCTGATCATGTCCCCAAGTGCCACACAGCTCTGGTGGCTGCACCCCTGCCCCGAGCAGCTGTGCCAGTGCCTGGACACCTTTGCAGTGAGGAATTTCCCCCAATATCCAACTAAACCTCCCCTGGCACAGCCTGAGGCCACTTCCCTTGTCCTGTTGTTTCCTGGGAGCAGAGCCCGACCCCCCTGTCAGGAGTTGTGCAGAGCCACCAGGTCCCCCCTGAGCCTCCTTCGCTCCAGGCTGAGACCCCCAGGGCCCTCAGGAGCTCTCCAGACCCTTCCCCAGCTCCATCCTCAGCTCTGGTCACACTCCAGCCCCTCGGGGTCCCTCTTGGTGGAAGGGGCCCCAAAGCGCCCCCCCCCTTTCCAGCTGTGAGCTCAGACTTTCAGTGCTGCTGGGACACCAGCAAATGAGCCTAATGGAAGTCACCAAATGGGCCTAAGGGGAGCTGAGACCTTTAGGAACAAGGAAAAATGGGACCTCCCAAGAAACTGAGGAGAGGAACATCAGGAATGCAGCCCTGTGCTGCTGTTTGGGGTCTGGAGCATCCAGTCAGAGGTTCTCAGGAGCCCAGAAGGTTTTTGGGAGCTTTCCTTGCCATGTACAGAGTGTGGGAATGGGGAGCAGATGTTGGGAAAGGGGGGAAGCCGTGCTCAGGAGCTGAGCTGGGATGATCCACAAGGGGACAGTGAGGGTTGGGGTGTGTGACAGTCACAGCTTTGGGCACTCCTGGGGCTCCTCCTGGTCCCCCTTGGTGCTGAACTCTCCCTGTCCTTCCCTGCCTTTCCAAGGCTGGGCAGCAGGGGCTGATGGGATTTACCTGTCTGGGCTATGCTTCTCACCTGGGATGTGAACCTGGCATGCTGGAACGGCCAAGCTCAGTG